TGGTAGTTTGGATGTGAAGAGCTATAGGGGTATAGACCAGAGTAGGAGGCAATCCCCAGTACCTCCCAAAACAAACATATGTTTGGATGTCTGTGATGTCCATGTGTGCATGTTATAAGTGTATACAGTACATTTTCCCTAAATATATGAAAGAACTCTTTAACTGACAAGGGAAATTAATAAACATGCACTTAAATCATCAATCCTAATACATTTTTTCTTTCCCTAGGCTCACTAGCCATCCAATACTGTTACTGACCTTACTGGTACAAGCTAAAAGCAGAAATGCACAATGAAAATCAGTTGCTTGCCAGGTGTCAGTGGCTCACACCTGTAATCCTAGCTGCTCAGGAAGTTGAGCTCTAGGGATTGCAGTTTGAAGCCAGCTTGGGCAGGAAAAGTCCGTGAGACTCCAATTTACCACCAGAAAACCTAAAGTGGAGCTGTAGCTCAAAGTGGTGGAGCACTGACCTTGAGCAGAAAAGCTCAGGGACAGTGGCTGGGCTCTGACTTGAAGCCCCCAAGGGACCAAAAAAAAAGAAAAAATGATTTGCTTAATGTGCAGCATCCATGACAGTGAAAAGAGGAAAAAGACAACTTTCAACTGTTTTGCTTTTTTAAACTTTTTTTTTTAAGGGAGGGGGACTAGAACTTGGTACCTGATGTTTTTGCTTATTGGCTAGTGCTCTACCAACTAAGCCATGCCTCCAAGCCCTTTTTCCTGATATTTTTAATACCTGATTGAGCTGAAATTTTGAGGGCCAGCTACTGGGCTGCCATGGCCTTGTTCATGTCTTACACTGAGCTGATTTTTGGGTGCTGGACCTCTGGGCATGACCATGAGACATGGAGATATGTATATTTCTGTTGCCTGCCAGCCTCTATCCTGGGCTTTGCCCAGAGCATTAGTCACAGAATCAAGCGTAGGCTGCTGTTCCTAGCTAGAGTACTCAGGAACTCAGAATGAATATGGGGTGGAGGAAGGCATTGAGGAAGGCACCTATAATTAGTTTCTGGAAAGATTTAGTTAGAAAAAGTGACTGGTTTTTCTTTCCATAAGCAATTCAAATATAATTATTGAGTAAATTAGGTAGATGTAAACAGCATAAGCATTTATAAACTCTAAATGTTAGATTCGGTAACTTTAAACTGAAATTGATTAATTTCTCAATAAATTAAAATTCAAGCCATTGTTTATAAATGAAATTTCAAAGCTTATGCTTTTTCTTTTTTTTGTCAGTCATCGGGCTTGAACTCTGGGCCTGGGTGCTGTCCCTGAGCTCTTCAGCTGAAGGTGAGCACTCTACCACTTGAGCCACAGCACCATTTCTGGTTTTCTGAGTGGTTTGTTGGAGATAAAGTCTAACGGAATTTCCTGCCCAAGCTGGCTTTGAAACATGATCCTCAGATCTCAGACTCCTGAGTAGCTAGGATTACAGGCGTAAACCACCAGCACCCAGCTAGAATTAAATTTTATACAATGTAAAACTAAACAGTAACTGAGTGTGGTGGTACACCCTATAATCCAAGCACTCAGGAAGCCTGAGGCAGGAAGATCACAAGCTCATGGCCAGTCTGGGTTATACAGTAGATCCTTGTAACCTTGGGTATGTGGTTCCAGGGAGACTGCTATCTGGACAAATTATGCATGCTCAGGAGAGACTTCAGTACTATACTACGGATGCTTAACTCACTTTCCCCATAACAGGGCCCAATTTCACTTAAGATACGCCACCTTCAAGAAATCTAAATTTTTATTGCTTAAACATATTACCTTGCTCTTTTGTGGGGGAGGAGGGATTACCATTTGCTTTTGGTGAGATTTAAAAAAAAAAAGGGAAATACAGTGACTTGCCATTCAAAAAGCATTGAGGATGAGTGACTGCTCTGTATCAACAGTGTGTGCGCGTGCGTGCGTGTGTGTGCGTGCGTGTGTGTGTGTGCATGTGTATTTTAGTCCCTTTCTGGATGCAATTATATAACTGACTTTTGAAAAACTTTGCACATGAAAGTTTTGATGGGTTTATAAAGCTGCTGGCCAAGATAAGACAGAATGAGACTGAATCAACTGGCTAAGAAAAAAAAATATAGCTTTCTAGTTGAAATATTACATGTTTTCCAGATTTAAGGAAACTTACTTTAAAAATATTTATTGATAGCAAAACCTAGATGATAGCATTTTGTAAAATATAGTTATATAAACAAAAACTTTCTATTTTTTCTCCAAGCCCTTCAGTGTTTCAGTATTATTGATTTTGTCAAGGTGATGTACAGAGGGGTTAGTTACAAACGTAAGGTAGTGAGTAGTTTCTTGTCAAACAGTTACCCCCCTCCCTCATTTTTCTCCCATTTTCCCTCTTCCCCCACAGTATTCTTATTTTTATGGCAATAAACTGAACACTCAGTAACAATATCTTGAGGCTTTAGGGAGGCCAAAAACATCAAGATGTTAGGACTTCAGGTAAAGTCTGATGTCTGCCTTGATCTGACTTCCTAGCCTCAGGTTTAAAAAGTCCAATCTGAAGTTTTTTGTCAAATTTCCAAAAAAGTCTATGTAGTTATTCTGGCTGCACTTAAGCAAATAAATGAGACTAAACCTAAGGAAATAAATAAACCAGGTATAATAATCCTAATTACTTAGGAGGTAGAGACTGGGAAAACCATGTGTGAGATAGGGCTTGAACTCTGGGCCACCTAGGGAAAACTGTGCGTGCGTGTGATGGGGCTTGAACTCTAGGGAAAATCGTGTGTGTGTGTGTGTGTGTGTGTGTGTGTGTGTGAGAGAGAGAGAGAGAGAGAGAGAAAGAGAGGGAGAGAGAGAGAGAGAGATGGGGCTTGAACTCTGGGCCATGCTGTCCCTGAGCTCTTCAGCTCAAGACTAGGGCTCTACCACTTGAGCCACAGTGCCACTTCTGGTTTTCTGGTGGTTTATTGGAGATAGAGTCTCATGGACTTTCCTGCCCAAGCTGGCTTTTAACTGAGATCCTCAGATCTCAGTCTCCTGAATAGCTAGGATTATAGGCTCACGCCTATAATCCTGGCAATGGGCTTGGGAAAATATTAGTTCTGGGCCAGCCCAAGCAGAATGCTACAGACCCCATAACTGATGAAAAGCTGGCCTTTTTGGCATGCCCCTGTCATCTCAGGAAAGCATACATAGGAAGATTGTGGGGAAGGTTGGTTGAGGCATAATATAGGTAAGACCAAAATAATCAAAGTAGGGCTAAAGATACAAGCTTAAGTGACAGTGTCTGCCTAGCAAGTGTAAGGCCCTTTGTGTATACCCCAGTACCCATGCCCTCAAAATCAGACTAGACTTAGATTGTAAACAAATTAGTCTTGATGTGATTACCTTTGGTAGAAAAAAAAAAGGAGGGTAAATTGAAGAGAGAAAATAAAACATTTTGCTCCATTCAAAACTTAGTTTTAAGATTTACCTGTAGGGCTGGGAAGGTGGCTCAGTGGTAGAGCGCTCGCCTTGCATGCATGAGGCCCTGGGTTCGATTCCTCAGCACCACATAAGCAAAAAGAAAAAAGCTGGAAGTGGCACTGTGGCTCAAGTGGTAGAGCACTAGCCTTGAGCTGAAGAGCTGAGGGACAGCGCCCAGGCCCAGAGTTCAGGCCCCACGACCGGATCCAAAAAAAACAACAACAAAAAAAGATTTACCTGTATCCTGGACAGTGTGGTATATTTTAGTTTTCTCTAACATTGTATTACAAATCAGGACAATGGTAATTTCACATGGGAGGGGGAGGGTAACTTACCCCAAAACAGAAACAAAACTCGGTATCATAAAATTCGTGTTAATTTTTTTCTTACTTGTGCTTACCTGTCTCATCACGATGGAATGATGGCTCTGTCATGTCAAAACCCAGATCTTGGCAGGTTCTAAGATTCTGTGGCCTAGATAAGTTTATCAACATCCCTAATGCAATCATTTGTCCAAAGCTATTATTACAGATCTTTTTTTTTTTTTTTTTTTTTTTACAGATCTCTTTTATAGAGCTCATATGCTTTGCTTTAATTTACTCTTGCCTTTGGTGCTAAGAATCAAACCCAGGGTGTTTGACCTGCTAGACAGGGTTGTGCCACTAAGCTACACTCAGCCTTAATTCATTCCTGCAATGCTAGATGACAAATTACTATCACTGAACAGAAACAAATATTTCAGGTACCATAAAACTCAAGTTACAAAAATTAGTGAACAGGGGCTGGGAAGGTGGCTCAGTGGTAGAGTGCTTGCCTTGCATGCATGAGGCCCTGGGTTCGATTCCTCAGCATCACATAAGCAAAAAGAAAAAAAGCCGGAAGTGGCGCTGTGGTTCAAGTGGTAGAGTACTAGCCTTGAGCTGAAGAGCTGAGGGACAGTGCCCAGGCCCAGAGTTCAGGCCCCACGACCGGAACCCCCCCCCCCAAAAACAAAACAAAACAAAACAAAAACCACAAAAATTAGTGAACAGACTATTTGGTTAAAGAGGCAGATTTAGCATCTGGCTCTTCAATTATTCAATTTTAGTTGGATTGGTTCATGACCCTGGCTAAAGAGCATATTCTAAACTCTTGGTACTATCCTCCCAATAGTCATCCTGTTGTAGTGTATACTCTCTCAGTTTTAAATATACCTACAATTATGTACCACTTGAGGCATACCTTGATTTGTCCAGCATCTTGGTGGTTAATTGGAGATAAGAGTCTCAGACTTTTTCTGCCTAGGCTGACTTCAAACCTGAGTCCTTAAATCTTAGCCTCCTGAGTAGCTACCATTATAGGCTTGAGCCACCAATGCCCAGAAACCATTTTTATTAATTACTTGAATAAAATCACACAAGGAAACTAAGGCCTAGATGGATCAGTATTAGACTAGCTACACAATGACCCCTGGGAGGGAGAAGGGAATAAACTGAGATCAGAAGGAATTCAGCACACTAACTTCCTGGTGGGGAGCAGGGCCAGGATGCCATCATAAGAAAACACAAACCATTTCATCTCAGAGCAGGTTTGGATCCAATCTCTTTATTGTTAAGGTCCCCTCCCTGTACCACCCGCCCTCCAAACCTATAGAAAAAAACCAAGCCTGGGAGTGTCCTGGGGAGAGAAAACAGTGTGGGGAAGTCCTGTGCTCTGCCCTCTGGCCTGGACAGTGCAGACAGGGAGGGCGCACAGGGAAAGGGTAGGCCGGTAACTCCATCTGCAGAGAATGTGGCACTGGCTGGGATGCATGGGGGAGGAGTGCCTGCTGCCAGTTTTCCTGTAGTACCCACTATGGGTCCAGCACCCAGGGTGGGTGCCTGGCTGAGGCCTGAGACAGTGAAGCCTTTCTCCTGCTGGTGGCCATTGCTCCTGTCAGACTGAGAAAAGAGATTAAAAAAAAAAAAAAAAAGACAAAGAGACTAAAACTGAGTAAAAGGAACCCTGATAAATTTGTCATCATGGGAGTAGGGAAGGAAAGATGAAGGAATGGTGTTTTAAATAAGATAACACCTGCATTCTGGATCTGGCCTCTTTAATATTCTGGCTATGTAACTGTGGGAAAACCTCATCTTTACCCTGAACTTCCATTTCTTCACCTGAACCACTATGCCTACTTTATAAACTAGCTTCACAAAGTAAAACAAGTTTAAAATTCCAAACAGAAAACCTATACATGAGGAATTTTTATACTTAACCATTTGTGGAATTTTTTATGCTCAACTGTCCTATATTCAACTGGTGGAGCATCTTCATAAACGTACCATTAATCTCAACAGCTCCCTGGGATCACGGGTGTTTGACATCATCGTCCAAGCCTACCTTACTCTGAACATGGTTCTATGGGAATGGGTCAGACAGCAGGCAGAACAAAATATGGCCTGGCTTTCCTCTACGGTAGAGGAGAGCAGGGTGGTGGCCAACAGCCAGAAAGTGGACTATGAAATTACACATTGACGGGTTCAAGTGTTGGCTCCCCCAACTAGTACCTTGGGATCGTATTAGATATGTGCCATCTCCTGGCACTTTCAGTACCTACATTTACATCCAACATAACTCCCACCTTGCTGTGTTAAAGATGAAATCAGATAAAGCAGAGGAAGTTCTTATCCCCAGGGTATTTCCTCCTTGTATCAGGATCAAGTCCAAGCCCCTATGCCCAGTATATAACTCTAGCCTCTGATGATGACTAGTGCCCCCTCTCCTTACACTGCAGCGTTGGACCACAGCACAGAGCTGGCCTCACTACACTATAAGGATTGTCACAGAGCTGTGCCTTGGCTAAGACAGTTTCCTTGGTAGGAATACTTCTCTCTCAACCATAAGCAGGATCAGCTTATGTATCGTTTCTTCCTCCTTCTGTTGTCATCCTGCTCACACTGGGTAGCAATAGTTTGTGTCCTACCAATGGACTAGGAACTCGAAGGTAAAGATAGTTAACATTGCTCACAACCCTTTCTGGGTTATCCTGGATAAGAATGGCATCTGCTGCTTCCAGCTGCCAAGCCTCCACCAGAGGCATCACAAGGTAAGTAGATATATAGGGGCCCTCATTCTTGGACACAACACTACCCTATATCTGCTTCAGGAAAAAGGAACACTGTCCACTGTTTTCCTCCCTGTACCTCCCAGAGCCCCCATACCTTCTTACTGCAAGGCCCCATCCTCTGCATCTGTGTCCTGGCTGTGCTCCTGAGAGGGAAAAGGCAAGCAGAAACCATACATCACTTACTGCAAACTCTGAGTTCTGCGTTCACAAAGGTCCTGGGGCTCAGGGCCCATCTGAGGGTACAGCACAGAGAAGGAGGGAAATGACTATGGAACCAGTCAGTAAGGCTGACCTAAGATTCCAAGAGGGTAGTTTGAGGGCTCCACAGGAAAGAGAAGGGCCCAGAGAAGATACATGTATGTAAGAGTATCAGGAGGGTTACTTCTGCACATGGAACAGACCTTGGACTGGAGTAGGCTAAAAACCTTGTAGACTGGTAGACTCCCCATCTTTGGCGTGTTTAAGAGAATAAGATGAAATATCAGGTTAGAGTCAAAGAAAGAAAGAGCAGTTGGTCATGAGGAAGACCTTCTATCAAAAGACCTAGTCCATTTGTCCTCAAGCTGGAACCTGGTAGTGACTAGAAGGAGAAGCTCTAGACTTGATGACTTTCGGGCTTCAAGCCAGGTTTGGCCTTTATAAGCTGTAAGGGCTTAAACAAGCTACTTGACCCCATCATCTCCCAGCCCCAGTCTTGGTTTCCCTACAGAGTAAAATGTTGCCATTTTACTGAATCATGCAGGACTGCTCTTAAACAAGTTATAAAGTATGGACAACAAGTGTGGGAACTCAAGGAGTGTTCAGTAAACTACTATATAAAAGGTTCATACAGACCCAGTCTGGTTGACCTTCCCACTCGATGTTAAATGGTTCCTCTACCTCAGCTTGGATACTTCCAAAATAGACAGGGGAGGGGGTTCATCCTCTTATTAAACAGCCCACTTCAAGCTTGAGCAGCAATGGCTTTTAGAAAATCCTCGTGTGGAATAGAAATCCACCCCTGTATTGGTTCCCAGGCAACCCTCTGGAACTCCGCAGTGTATGGGCCATCCCCACCCCAAACCCAAGTTCTCTTCTTCTCCAATCCACATGGAAAATGGAGGCCAAAATGGGTTCCACCAAGGTCTGTCTCAGTCCCCAGTGAAATTTCTGACTGGCAGCTGAAATAGGCAACTACTTGCTCCTTATGCTTCCCTCTCTTCACAGGACTACAACCTCTAGGAAGGAGGAAAGCACTCAAGAGGAGCAAACCAGCTCAGAGGCTCCTTCCATCTGTGACCCTCCTGATACTAAGAATACAAAGTAAATCCTGGTCCTTCCCAGCATGCCCTGCCCAGTCCCTCACCTGTTCTTCCTCGCTGTGCGTCAGCAGCCCTTCCTCGTCACCATCATCCCGAGTCTGGGCTTCTCCCTGAGGCATGTCCACCTCAGAAACGGCATCCTCTTGTGGGGCTGGTGGTCGGGTGCTACTGCCACTGCCACTATTACCAGTGCTGCCACCAGCACCACCACCACCAGCAGCACCACTGCTGCTGCTGCTGCTGTCAACCTTCTTCTTGCCATCTTGAAGGGTGGGGGTAGAAGAACAACAACTAAAATTCAACCGAGCAGCTATAAATTAGTACTTTAACAGAAGCTGACCTCAGCACAGTGGGTACAGATGGACTGGGATTTGCAGAACTCTGGGATTGAGATCATCTCCCCCACTCTCCCCCAATGCACTATCCTCCCCATCCTTGGTCCTCAAAGGCTGACCTGGGTTGGCCCTTTGCTCCTCAGCAATCTGCTCCAAGCGACCCAACAAGGCGTCAATGTTGGACTTGATCTGTGTCAGCTCTGTCTTGATTGTCTGCAGTTCACTGCTCTTTACTGAAAGTGGAGAGGGAACAGGGCTGTTACCTTGAGGTATAACCCTAACAAAACCCCAACTCCATTTGGCAAACTAGAACAGTTCCTTTTTGGCACTTTTCCTGACTAGGGAAAAGATGTCTTCTTGGACCTACCTGGAGACCAGCCCATTTCTCGGAACCTGGCTCTTTCTACTAGACATCTCAATACAAAAGGGACTGGGGGTACAGGAATACACACCTGTGGTAGGATCATGTGTGCCTGGTTGTATTCAGGGTGGAATCTGTTTTTAAAGGTATGAAAGGAGGGTCTTTTACAATCATTTCTACTATCTGACTGCAGTATATGAACATTACAATGTTTGTGGAACAATGGGCCTGTGTAGACTTGTCTTTATCCTTACCCGAGGAAAAATGATGCTATCTCTTTACCATGTAACAGCATTAGAATCTGTGTCCAAACAAAGTCCCTTTTCAAATGGGAGACTTTTCTTCTTGAAAATTTATGGAACTACTCATTTGGTTGTATTAAGAGTTGAATTGTGAGAAATTTGTTTCTTTTTTTCCAATGTTAAAAAAAAGTGATTTTTTTTTCCAGTCCTAAGGCTTGAACTAAGGGCCTGAGCACTGTACCTGAGCATCTTTTTGCTCAAGACTAACACTCTACAACTTGAGCCACAGTACCACTTCTGGCTTCTGTGTATGTGGTACTAAGGAATCAAACCCAGGGCTTCATGCATGCTGGCAAGCACTCTACCATTAAGCCATATTCCCAGCCCTGATTCTCTTATTTTGCTGATGATAAAAACACATATCATCTAGGAAGATGTTGTTACTCACACTTGATCTTCACTGAGCCAGTATTAATGGCTGTGGAGCGGCCAAAGAGCTTGACAGGTATGGTAGTTTTGACACGACGTACCAAAGGGACTGTGACCCGAGGTCGCTTCACAGGGACTGCCCTAGGCACTGGCACGGGTGATAGGCGACCACGGTAGTCAAAGAGCCTGTGAGGACAAAAAGGCCAGAGGCTGCAGCATAGTCTGTAGCCACCAGAGGTCACTGCAGCTCTAGCTGTACATATGAGGGTATGAGTTCTATGACAATACTTTATCAGTCTGCTCCCAATAAGCCCTGGAGTAAAGAGGAAAGGCAGCACAACCCCCAGTTAGGAACAATCTCTGAGCTTGTCTGAGACTCAGTTTTTCTCATCTATTTAATGAGGAATCGCTATTCAATTCAGTGTCTTCCCAAGTCTGCTATGAGAGAATCTATTTAAAAACAAACTTCAGAAGGTGTGACAAGTGAAAAAAACCAGGATACCAAGATCCTCAACTCAGGAACTCATGGCTTCAGAGACATGCAGAGATAGACTGTAAGCTTATTCCTTTTGGACCTCCTTTAATTTCTTGTTCCATTTCAGAGATGGAGGCCAGAGATTGAGTAGCACATCAAGATCAGGGTCCCCAGATTGTGTGCTATCCCAACACTATCATCTGGTCCTCTTTAGAAAGCCTTTTCCCAATGATAGCAGCAACTCAACAGAGGTCTTTCCACTGCTACCATCTTTTTCTTTTTTTTAAAAAAAAAAACTTTATTGTCAAGATGAGGTACAGAGGGATTATAGTTACATAAGGCAGTGATTACATTTCTTGTCTAACTTGTTACCTCTTCCCTCATTTTTCTCCCTCCACTGCTACCATCTTTGTGCAGAGAACTGCGGCATTGGTCTGGGGAACATTTTGTACTATATTTGTGATGGCAGTCATCACTAGGCAAGTCAATGTTCACTGCTTAGCGCTCTTGTTTAGGGACGGTGATGGCTGAGGTTGGGAGTCTCTAGGAATGGGTACAATCCTGGACCCTTTATTTCTACCCAAAAGGGGCAGCTCTGGCTTTAGTCAGAAATCACTCAACCAATCACTCACTCTCTAGATGAGACCTGAAAGATCAGTTGGAAGGGACTTGCCTAAAGTCACAGTGAATTCAGTGGTAGATTTGGAATTAGCACTAAGTCTTCCAACTCCCAGACTAAGACACTTCCCACCACATTAAAATATTTCCTAATACCCTGCCCCTAGGGAGAAAAACTGAGACTCAAGTGATCCTGCTCTTCTCGTGCTACCTGGAGTGGGCAAGCTGGAGTGAGAGAAGCAGGGAAGAGTCTGGGCCAGCCTTCACCATGACCTCTAGTCAACCATATGGCTAGTGGGAACCTACAGCAGGCCTCATTCAGACTTTCAATGGCTGCTGGCCTCTTAACTATAAATATAAGCCTAAGCAGCTCAGAATGAGCTCTGGCTTTTTTCTGGCTAACTAGGGACACCTCATGGAAGCAAGAAGAATGAAAATTACAAGAATGAAAAACAGGAGTCTGAGGGCTCAAACTGCAGTTAGTTCTTTGCTGTTGTATATTCCAACTGGCTATATTTCTGTGAAGTCCACTGGCTGTACAGTCCCTCAAGTCTCACTATAGGACTAGAAGGAGGAAGGACAGTCAGTGTGCGACAGTGTGGTATGATGGTGGTCTCTCTGGCCTGGGCATCTCAGAATGAGACCCTTGTCCCAGGTCTGCCACTGACTTGTAGAGCAACCTTGAACAGATGCTTGTTCATGTTCGTGGGCTCCCTTTCCCAACTAAAAGACTGAATAGGCTTCACAAGTAATCCTTTATAATCTTTCCAGCTTGGCTGTTTATGCCTGGGCACAACCCTCTTCTGCTCACCTACTGTAGAAGCTGTCTTACTCGTAACCATAGTCAAATCTGTAACCACTGGGGAAAGAAAGGGGAGAAGGCCAGAGCTTAGCCCACTCTCTACAGATTGCCAGTTCTAGGTTCAGCACACCGTCACTACCAGCGTTTATTCTCTCTATGGAAAGAAGGGCTGCACCCACACACCTAAGACAAAATGAGTGCCCCACCTGTAAATAGCAGATGCCGCTCTCTTTAGCCCCTTAGGTCTGTTAGGCTTGGGCTCTCCAGCCATGTTGATATCTGTGTGGAGGGAGAAGGCAAAGTTGGAATTCTGACGTGACATATTATTGTCATTCATGTACCCACATAGTAATTTATGTACTTATGTTAATTACATGTACTGAGGCAGCCAATAAAACAATGTCTTCATACATCAGATACATACCCAGACATCCCACATTGATATGGTATTTACGTATTCATATACATGGAATCACATATATGCACATCTACTAAGGAACTACTCACACATACATGCATATACCATGTACGTCATATACATATACACACAAGTATATTCATCAAGTATAGAGAAATATATACTTACCTCACATACCCAAGCAAGAAAATTATACACACATAACATTTACGCTCAATATACTCAGACTTGGATGGGTATACATAATGTACATAGTTATACATAGCTGAGTATACATATACATATATATACATTATATGTAATTGTCCATAGGTAAAGAAGTCTACACACAATCTTACAGATATTCTACCAAATGTATGCTTAGAACAATGTGTAATACATAGGACCTCAATAAATATTTGATAAATATATGCATACCTGCATACACATTCAAGTATATTCAAACACACACACTTACACACACCTATCCACACAAAGGTGTAAGTCCACATATTCAATCACATCTATATACTTTGTATCAAATACATATATTGCCCTTCTCAAACATAAATATACACAAATAAGAATGTGTATAAACAAACTTTACACACATTACACCATGGATGTATGTACTAACAAAGGCAAAGAGACCCGTCCTGCTTTGTCCTTGTATTCCCAACTCCTTCCTCCTGGTGGTCAGAAAAGACTCTAACTTGAACCAGTTGCAGACCAAAGTAACAGACTATACCAGGGTCCACTGTTACCTTTCTACCTAGGGAATTTAAATTTTAACCAAACCTTAAAGATTGTTATTAAGAAGCACCGAGAAAGCAGAGACAGGACAAAATAATTTTCAGAGGCTTCTGTTAACTCTCTTCTATAGGCATTATCATAACTACATAGTTTGTATCATAACATAATCTGTTCAAGTTATAAAATCTCTGAGCAGTAGAAGTGGTTGGGAGGAGTAGAGAAGGGGTCTAAAAGGAGAACTGGATTGTGAGGAACTAGGGAATTGACAGCAAACTACTCTATAGGATATTCAGATATTCCTGTGGAGAGAGGCTTATCTTACCAAGCGTCTGTCCAGCCAGCACTCGTCCATTCTCTCCTAGCACAGCTGCCCGGGCATGGCGCTCATTGGCATACTGGACAAAGGCATATCCCTTGTGTACAGAACAGCCAGCCACACGGCCATACTTGGAGAAGATAGTCTCCACATCTGACTTCTTCACCACAGCTGTGTTGAGGTTTCCAATGAAAACTCGGGAGTTGATGGACTTGGGGTCATTCTTATTGGTTACATTACTTGTCTGGATCTTCAAAGACATGGTGACCACCTGAAAAGAAAGTCACAGTGAGTTTGGGTCCCAAGCTGGAATCAAGGGCTGCTTACAATGTGTATCCTGATTTAACTGATTATTGCTCCTTGCCTTTTTAAATACTCCCAGCCCTGCAACATCCAACCTCCCTGTTTCTGCATGTGTTTTCTTGTATCTCAGAAAGTTACCACTTATTTCATGCAGGGTGCTTTACATTGTTTCCTCATTTGGTACTCATGTAGGTAGACAAGGATACACATAACAATATATTGCAGATGGGAAGAACCTGACATTCAGAGTCAGAGAAGTCACAATGCTGAATGGCAAGGCTGGGATTAACTAGTCTGCTTGATTGAGTCCAACTCTTTTAAACCCATACATTAATACCCATCTCAAATGTTACATCATTTAGAATCTAAATTTAAAGACAACCCTCAGCTCTTCTTTCTGTTCCCTCAATGTAGGACAACAGGCTACTCCAGAAGAGTAGCAAAGATCCCTCCCCTGCTTTCACTGTATTTGATGTTGGTATAATTTGTGGAGGGGAAGGGAAAAAGCAAATCGTTTAAATAGGGATATAGGTGGACCCATTAAAACAATGAGATGTACAAGTCGTAATGTCGAAAATGAACTTTACAACTTTGGTCGGGGGAGGAGGGAGACGTATTGGGTTGAGGGGCGGGGGGAGGATGGGAAGGGATGGGAAGGGGAAACAAAGGAGGAGGCTACAATGCTTGATAAGAAATGTACTCATTATCTTGCCCATGTAATTGTAACCCCTTTGTATGTATTTTCACTCAAAAAAAGAGTATCAAAGAGGCTCTATGGTTAATTACAAATAAATACATATTGTAGAAACTGTTTAGTTTGATCTAGACATGGACCTACTTAGCCCACTACTATCAACTTCATCACTCTGCTTCCCAAAGTTAAAGTCAATTTAAATATCATAGTAAGATGACATATTTATCTGAAAAGTACCTTTAATAATCTCTTATTATTTCCTATATTTGTGCTTATTTTCATTCAAACATTGTTTTGTTTTGCTTGAGAACAAATTTGCAAATACTTTGTTTTCTGTACTCTGGATATGTCTCTTTTTTTCTTTTTTTGGGGGTCGGTTATGGGTCTGGGCACTGTCCCTCAGGCTCTTCAGTTCAAGGTTAGCATTCTACCACTTGAGCCACAGCGCCACTTCCGGTTTTTAGGTGGTTAATTGGAGATAAGAGTCTCATAGATTTTCCTGGCCGGGCTGGCTTTTAACCGAGATCCTCAGATCTCAGCCTCCTGAGTAGCTAGGATTACAGGTGTGAGCCACCAGTGCCTAGCTAGGTATGTCTTTTATCCCTTTGCTGACTTCTTTTTCTAAAGAAGGTATACTTAGGTATAGGTTCCAGGGAGAAGCAGCTCAATGTCAAAAGAAAAGGCCTTGGCATTTGTATGTCCTGTAGATATCTTCTGCTCATTGGTATAGGCTAGTACAACTACAATCTCAACCTCCTCAGGCCATTTCAGAAGATGCCACGTGTATAAAAGCTTTCACCAGGGGCTGGGAAAGTGGCTAGGTGGTAGAGCGTTTGCCTTGCATGCATGAGGCCCTGGGTTCGATTCCTTAGCATCACATAAGCAGAAAAAGCCATAAGTGGTGCTGTGGCTCAAGTGGTAGAGCGCTAGCCTTGAGCTGAAGAGCTGAGGGACATTTCCCAGGCCCAGAGTTCAGGCCCCACAACCAGAAAAAAACAAACAAACAACAACAACAAAAAAACCCCAAAACTTTCACCAGCAGGCCAGACCTATTTGCCTAATTATTTGAGGGCAAAGAGGACTTATTTCCAGAGAATTAGATAAGAAAGCTAAGAAAACAAGTAAAAGAAATCTTTTTGCCATACTAAGGTGAAAGACTTCGCATGTCTTTTAAATATTTCTATTTTTAGAAGCAGGCATGCTCTGGCCAGCTGGTGGCACTCTTTACAAGAAAAATCATAGGGTGGACCAGGAGACATGAGGGGTAGGCATGCACCAACTGAAGCCAAAGACTGAGGGAATGTCAGCACTGCTACTGAAGGCGGGTACCAGCTTAGGAATCGACTTGGAAGGGATGAACTCTTATTACTTAGTTTACCTTTACAGCCAATCATCACTATGTATAAAGCAGTGAAGGACACCAATTACCCATTTCATGTAACACTTGTCCATATGATTCCTTTGAGAGGCTCACTTCTCACAGTTCTGATAATCCCTCTCTTACTTGGATCATGCCATTCAAAGGGCTAATTCTTTGTCATCATGAGTATACAAGAAGGCGATGGGGCTCCTATGTGATATCAAAATCACTAAGGAAATAGTTTTGATTTGACTGGAGGAAGCCAACCAGGACTTCAGTGCAACTGAGATAAAGGAGAGAAGGGATGATTTCGACAGACCTATTGATGACTGCTGGCTTTGTCACTGACCTGGCAGGGGTAGGATAGTTGTGGATACCTCAGACCTCTGCCAGAAGCCTCTAACATCACTGAACAGGAAGTATTTGCAAAGCACCTGTGCTTGGCACTATGGAGGCATCAGTAGGCACTCCCTTTAGTAGTATATTCAATCTCTCAGATTTGGCACTACCCAATTTTCTCTCTAATCACCTGAGGTATAAGATAATGTACATTAAAAAAACTTCTTAACCAAATGTTTACAAACAAGACCACACTAAAGCTACCAGCACAACTATGTTCATTGCAGCATTATTTACCATAGCTAAGATATGGAACCAACGCCCCTCAGTAGATGAATGGATCAAGAAAATGTGGTATATATACACAATGGAATTCTATGCCTCCATCAGAAAGAATGACATTGCCACATTTGTTAGGAAATGGAAAAACTTGGAAAAAATTATATTAAGTGAAGTAAGCCAGGCCCAAAGAAACATAGGTCCCATGGTTTCCCTTATTTGCAATATCTAGTATATGTATGAGTCAAGCGGAAAAGGTCAGATAATGTGATGTCAGGAAAATGAACCCTTAGACATGTATTTTAATGTTTTTTCTTTCATGCATGTGTTTCTAACGCATTTATAAGACTATCTCTTTGTTGCTTTGTATGTCCCTCCCCCACAGTATAACCCCTGCTTTCACTATATTTGATGTCAGTATAACTTGTGGAGGAGAGGGGGAAAAAACAGTTGTTTAAGGATACAGGTGGACCTGATGCAACAAAGAGAAGTATAAGTTGTCATGTCCAAATCGAGCTTTACAACGTCGGCCCGGGGGGGGGGGGGGGGGGGGGAGGGGGGAGGCTGGGAAGGGATGTGAAGGGTAATCCAAAGGAGGAGGCTGCAATGCTTGGTAAGAAATGTACGCATTATCCTGCCCATGTAATTGTAACCCCTCTGTACAGTATGTTCACAAATAAAAAATAAATAAATAAATTAAAAAAAAAAACTTCTTAAGCCCTTTTCTATTCTAGTAATACTGACATTTGTGGACCATTCTAGATTAGGGCCAAGTTCAGGTGAGAGTATGTTCTGTATGATACCAAAAGGAGCCATGTCACATGTAAGTCTATTTCCTGCATCTGGTCAAGGAAATATGAACACTGACTAATCTAATTGTTTGGCTTTCTGCAGAAAGGGTCCCCAGGGTAATCTAAGAACAAGACAGTTGGGCATGGGTGGCTCATGCCTATAATACTAGCTACTGTGATCTGAAGATCATAGTTCAAAGCCAGCCTGGGTAGAAGTCATGAGACTCTCTAATTAATCACCAGAAAACCAGAAGTGGAGCTGTGGCTCAAAGTGGTAGAATTCTAGCCTTGAGTGAAAAGAGCTCAGGGACAATGCCCAAGCCATGGGATAAAGCCCCATGACTGACCCCCCCCAAAAAAAGAACAAGACAGTGGGGCCCTTTAAGGTGATTAGGTAATGAAAACAAAATCCTCACAAACAGGTTTATATAAAAAAGACTCTAGAGAGCTAATGTGTATTTTTTACCACATGAGAATGGGGCAAAAGGACAGCTGTCCCTAAGTCAGCAGCCACTAGGCCCTCATCAGACATTGAATTTGCTGGTGCCTTGATTTTGAACTTCTCAGCCTCCAGAACTTTGAGAAAGAAATTTCTGTTTATAAATTACCTTTTCGTCTTCTTTTTTTTCTTTTTTTGTCAGTCATGGGGCCTGAACTCTGTCCCTCAGCTCTTCAGCTGTAGACTAGCGCTCTACCACTTGAGCCTCAGCCCCACTTCCGGCTTTCTCTGCTTATGTGGTGCTGAGGAATCAAACCCAGGGCCTCATGCATGCAAGGCAAGCACTCTACCACTGAGCCACCTTCCCAGCCCCCACCTTTTTGTTTTCTAACAGCAGAATGAAAGTGAGGCCAGATAGGTAAGGAGAAGGAAAATGAAAAAAATAGTAAGTATTAAAAAGGCTAGATTCAGAAGTTGGAAGAGGAAGTAAACTGAAAAACCAGAACTTGAGCAAGCTACCTTCCGTCAACCACTACTACCCTTCTAGATATTAAGCCACAAGAATAGAGAATATAAAGAACCTATCAGAACCTGCCTTCTCCTTGAAATGTAAAGCTACGACTCGGCTTTAACTACTTCAGAGGCTGAGATGGACAGTCTACCTCAGAGAAAAATCTTGCAAGATCCCATCTCAACTAGCAAAACACTGGACATGGTGGTACATTCCTGTCAAACCAGCCACATGGAAAGCTGAAAACAAAGTCCCCATCAGTCTGGCTAAAAAGCAAGATCCTATTTATAAAAATGACAAAAGCAAAAGAATATGACTCAAGTGGTAGAGTACTTGCCAGGCAAAGTTAAGTCCCTGAAAGTTTAAATTTCAAATGGATAGAGACAGAAAATTAGAAATTACATCTGGCAAAGAGAAGTCCTGAAGGTACCTCTTGTTCTTGTAACCTGGGTAGGCCTTGATAACAACTTGATTTTTTTTTTTTTTTGGTTGGTTATGGGGCTTGAACTCTAGGCCTGGGCACTGTTCCTCAGCTCTTCAGCTCAAGGCAAGCACTCTACCACTTG